AGACGTTTTGTAGCAAAAGGAGGGGAGGTCCCTGGGACCATCAAGGGTGAAGAGTGGAGAGCGGGACCCTACCCAGAGGAGCAGTGATACTAGAGATGGAGCAGTTGGGGACTTTAGACCCAGAGAGGGAGAAAGGCTGTGTGCTGATGACCAGGGTGGGGGAGGAGGGGAGCAGGCTTGCAGGGTATACCCTTTGGTTGATTGATGATGCATGGAGGGAATTGTAACCATGGCAATGAAACGATATACTATAGGATTGAATGTAAACCTAATGTTCTCCCATGTAAACGATCACATAATTCACAATTTCCATGAATTTATTCAAAGCCTGTCGTAAAATCTTTACAACAGCCCCATGAGGTAGGTACTATCATTTTACCATGAAATAAATAAATAAATAAATAAATAAGAGAAATGTGAACTAGAAATACCAAAACCAAGCATTCTAACTTCAGAATAAGAGCGAGGTTGGTTTTATTCTCACTCCAAACGTTGGAACTAGCACTAGCATCTAATTCAGAAACAGTGTTCTTCTTCCTATTGCTGTGTGTCTTTGGAAACATCACTGAATTCTCTGAGCCTCTGTTTCCTTGTTTGCAAAGTAGCCTATTATTCCATATATAAAACAATGAAAGTGAAAGCGTTTAATATAAATCAACATAAAAATATAATTGAACAGAAGTCAGATTATTAGCCATCACTGCCATTAACTAGGTAACCTAGGGCACTGATTTGTAAATTTTACAAATGTTAATAAGCAATTCTAAAGGCTATGCTCTGGGGACACAGAAATATATAAGGCATAATACCCAAGAACTAGGGATTCTAGTTCTAGCATTTTTGAACCCCGAGTCTGCAGTTTCTTCCTAAAATTTCCCCCAGGAGTCATTCCTGGGCTGGAAAACAAATAGTTCCAGGAGGCCCCTCTGGAAATGCATTTTATCTGAGAGAAGGCCCAGTGAGTTACTCTAATGTGGTACTTTTCAATTATTAATGAACATATGAATCACCTGAATTTTTTTTGTTACATGAATATTCTGAGGTGGAGTTCAGGTTGCATTTCCAAAAAGCCCCCAGGTGATGCTGCACTAACTACATTTTGAGTATCACGCCGCCAACCCTTTCCCATTAGCCTTGTTGTGAAGTGCCCTCGAGTCGGTTCCACCTCATAGTGACCCTGTATAGGGTTTCCAGGGAGCAACTGGTGAGTTTGTACCTTCGACCTTGCAGTTCAAACAGCTTTGCAGTCTGGCGCATTAACCCACTAAGCCACACCAGGTCTCCATTAGCCTAGTATAACATAATTTGACAAATAGGTGCTCTGTTACCTGGGTAATTACAGAAAGCTTGAAGGGCATAGTGGGGGTAGTTTGAGGACTCTGCCTGGAACAGCTCTAGTTGAGAATAGAGAATGAGCAGGCTTGAAAGGAAAAAAAGGACATAAAGTTTCAAGTTTTTGTACCTTAATCATGGCACCGTCCAACCCTCGATATCCCAAGAAATTAACCATTCCTGCCTGCAGCTTTCACTACTATTCAATGAAGTCATGATTATCAGCCTTTAAGAGGTTATAATTATTGTCTGGTAGCGTAGTGTTTACGAATCGGGCTGTGAATGGCAAAGTCAGCAGTTCGAAACTACCAGCTGCTCCGCGGAAGAAAGATGAGGCTTTCTGCTCCTGCAAAGATTTATAGCCTTGGAAACTGTTCAGGGTCGCTATGGGTCGGAACCAACTCTGCGGCACTTAACAACAATAAAAATGATTGTTTAGAAGACTCACCCTGTGATGTGAATTGACAAGAAGGAACAGGGAGATGTGCCACCCTTCTCCACCCGGGCCTGGCACAAGGTCTGCTGTCCCCTCCCCCATTTGCTTATAACGGTTATTGAATGATTTTTACAATTTGCAAGTGGGCCTAGTGCGCAATATAGGCCAGTGCGCTCCTCACTAACTCCGCTAGGGGGTGCGGCGATCCAGGCGACACAACTAGTGTGACCCACCGCAGCCACGGCTTAGTGCGCTTTGCGGGCGGTCTCCTTTGGGGAGCCCCCTCTTACGACCTGGGCGGGAAGCCAAGACAACTAAAAAGAATCCCCACTTTGGGAGGTGGGAGACATCGCCTGAGCCTGGGTGCTTGGAGTTCGGCCCACGCCCTTTCCTCGACTAGCCGAAAGCCGGACGCACCGGCCCAGGGCTCGTAACCAAGCGCACAAGGCCCGCCCGGCCCTGTTTGTCCTGGCAGCGCGCCGCCGCTATTTGAGGCGGTTTTTATCTCCCAGAAACCAGAAAAACCCCAAGCGGAGTCTAGGAAAGATGAAAGGGGCCAAGTGGCTGGGGAGGGGAGGACCGCGAGGCTGCGGCGGGTAGGAGCTGGCACCGGACAGGCGGGGACCCGGAGGCGAAAGGGACAGGCCCTGGGGGGTCCCGAGGAGCCTGCCTCGCGGGGTGGAGGCGGGAGCCAAGAGATCCATTTCAGGCTTCTCTCTCAAACCAGTTCTAAAGCGGCCCCCCTGCCACTTATTCACTCGAGCCCCCTCTCACGAGTCTCTCTTCCGCCACAGCCCCCAGCCCACTAAAGTCCTAGGAACTTGGATTTCTTCAAAGTGCTTTTGAAGGTCCGCACCCTGCCGGAAGGCTGGATATTTCTCACCTGGGCGGGGGCGGAGTGACAGCGGGGTGAGGAGGGAACTAGTAACCAGAGCCTGTCTAGTTACCCTTCAAGGACTCCCCGACCCCTTCCCACCCGTTCCAACGCCGCCAACGCCTCTTGGGTCCCGCTACGTGGACCATCCGCTCGGAGTCGAACCCAGGCCGGGGTGGGAAGGCAAGAGCCCCTTCAACCCAGCGGGGGAGCTCTGGGGGGCGGCGACTGCACAAAGCCCTATTGTAGCTTAGGGATGGCCGCCGCCACAGAGTGGCTTTTGTTCCTCGGCTAACTCCGCGGCGGGCACGACTGATTGCCGGCCCCGGGCAGGGGGCGGATTACATGCCAGGCCGGGTTCGGGGGCCTGGAGCTGCATGACGGCCACACAGCAATCTATGCCCGGTCTGCGGTGCCAGCGCTCGGGCCGGGTCACTGCCCTGGCCAAGGTCAGTCGGTGCAGAGTCTGAGAAAGGGCCTAGGAAGAAACCACTCGATGCCTCCGCCTTCCCAGCTCTGCAGAGAGTAAAAAACTGAACTCGGCAGGAGGGCCTGGCCGATGAAATATTTTACAGAGGGCATAAATTGCAAAGTGCGCAACATCGGTGTTAAGGAAAAATCCTGTCTCCCACCCTTCACCATCCTGCTTCTTCCCCTTTTCTCAACAGTACAATATTTCAAATCAAATTTTTATTAAATTTAAAATTAAAAAAAGACTCCATGAGGGCATGATCCCGTCTCTTCCACAATATTACCCTCTCCCCAAGCTCCAGCGGCTTTTTTAACCCTTTAACTTGGGGCCTTGAGGGAGCAGGGGTTGGAAAAGGAGGATCCAGAGTCACAGGAAAGGCATTCAAAGGCACGAAGCGGCTTTAAAAGTCACTGGAGGTGGAGTTGGGAGCATCAGAAGTCCTAGATAGAGGGTCCTGTGGATACAACCCAAATCAACTTTGGGGACCTCTATCCTCCTAGCTCAATAATTTCTACTTTCTCGCTACTTCTAGCCACCAGGCCTTGCATATAGTGGTGTTGTTTGAGTCACTTTTGACCTATAGCGACCCTGTATAGGGTTTCCAAGGGAGGTTGGTAGGTTTGAACTGCCAACCTTGTGGTTAGCAGTCATGTGCTGATTCTACAGCGCCACACCAGGCCTCCACAGAGTAGGCACTCAATAAATGCTTGAAATCTGGTCCCAGAGAAAGGTTTCCCTACCCATTCTTCACCTCCAAACCGATGTCCTCCTACTGTTAGGTGGGCTTTAGCAAGAGAGCAGGTCTAAAATGGAAGCCTCAAGCTCTCTATAACCATGGCAACAGGGGTTAGCTTGATGGGTAATGGTGTCTGAATAACAGTGGGAAGACCCTGCTCTGGGAGGGAGCTGGGGTAAATTCCACTCCTTCTCCCCTCCTTAGGACTTGAGGTTTCACAGCTTCTGACTGGGGTTGGGGATATTAGGGATCCTCTAATTGAGGGATACCCCATCAACCCTTTAATATAGATCTATTAGCAGACTCCATTAAAAGAGAAACCCCATTAACTGAGACCCTGATTATAAAAATGCTATTAACAAGATCTCCACTACAGAGATGCATTTGGCTAGAATTTCCTTAGCAGAAATAGACCCCCTTCCCTCCCCAGTTCACTCTACCTGACCAGTCATCATAACTTACATAAATAGAATTATTATTATTACTATTCATTACTCTTGGTACATAGGGGTTAAATACACAGGCCTAGGGGCAGCCTCCCTGACCCTGGGGTCACCCATCTTTGGGATCTGATCCCCACTGGTCTGCCCCCAATCTTGGCACCTTGCTCCCTGCCAGGTCACTAACCCCAGTCCCCCTAACTCTGGTCCCTAATGAAGGGGCCACCAGGGGGCAATAAATTATCATCATCATCCTCATTGTGTTTGTAGAAAGGAAGAAAGCTCTGGAGAATGGAAAACAGTGGAGTAAGATGTAGAGAGACTGGAGCCTGGAAGCTGAGGAATGGGAATAAATAACCTTGGGGAGCAGAAAAGATGCATGGCAAGAGTTAGTCAGATGGAGAAATCATGAGTTGGGAGCCCAAATGAAGGAAAAGCACCCGTGGTGTGGCAAGGGCAGAGAGAGAAAAACTGTGAGCCCCCCCCCCCCCACCCATGAGGGAAGAGTGCAGGAAGCAGGCACAAGATGAGAAGGCCTGAGATGAGAGTTTGTTGAAGGGAGGAGGTGAGATGAAGTGGCATGCAAGGGGAGATATTGGAGCTCAGAATGGCCAGTGGAGAGATGGAGAAAGTCCCAAGGGGTAGCATGCAGTGGACAAAAGGGTAAGAGGCTAGCAGTGGTCTGCAGCCAGGAGAGACTGGCGAGACAGCCCTGAGATGGAGACCTTCCAGTCAGCTCAGATCTCCAGCAGATTGCTCTGCTCAGGGCTGCCTGCAGGGGCTTTCTCTGGGGGTGTGGGTGAAGTAGAAGGTCTGGGGGTCTGACTGGCCTCCTCCTCCCCCGTGCTGCGGGTCTCCCCCAGATCCTTGGGGCCGCTGGGAGGGGGGCCAGGGCCCGGCTCTCCATGGGTGCGCTGATGTTTGCTTAGGTGGTCGCTCCGTGTAAAGCGCTTGGAGCAGAGCAGGCAGGTGAACTTCTTCTCCCGGGTGTGAGTGCGTACGTGGCGCTCCAGCTCATCTGAACGAGTGAACCTTTTGCCGCAGAAGAGCCAGTTGCAGACGAAGGGCCTCTCACCAGTATGCCAGCGCAAGTGGGCCTTCAGGTGCGAGGCCTTGCCATACACTTTGCCACAACCAGGGATATGGCAGCTGTGGATGGGCTTCTTCCTCAGCCCAGCCGCAGCTGCCCCCAGCCGTTCTAGCTCTTGGCAATTGGGGCAGTCACAGGAGGAGCGCCCTGCCCCACTGCCCCCATATCCACTGCCCCCCGTGCCTGCACCTCTTGGGGGTTTGGCTCCACCACTCCCCTCCAACTGCCCACTATTGCCCACTGCCTTGGGTTTATAGACGTCTTGAGGCAGGACATGCTGAGGCCCTGGTTGCAGAAGATGGGGAGCTGGGTAAGGTGCTGGATTAAGGGGGGCAAAGTCAGATGGGTAGGTCGGAAGCTGGGGATTCAGTGGAGGCTGAGTAGGGCCCGTGGGCAATGTCCCTTGCAGCCCATCACCCTGACCCTGACCACCACCTAGCCAGTTGCCTCCAGGGTGCATGTCCCACCAAGGGGTGGGAGGATTGCCTGGGCCTGGAGAGATGCCTGCGTGGATGCCCGCCTTGTACCAGGAGCCGTAGGGGTGTGCCATGTCCAGGGAGGTGTAGACACTGGGTAGACAGTCAGAAGAGCTGTGCCCTTTGGGCACTAGTAGCCCAGGGTCCTGGGTGCCTGTAGGCCCAGGAAATGAGTGGGAAAAGGGAGGGTAGTCATTTGCATAGCCAGAGGTGGTTGCTGGAGGACTGCCTGCAGGTGAAAGGAGCCCATTGGTACTTGAAAAAGGGGCTGGATAGGCATCCCCCATGGTTTTGGGGGCCAAAAGGTCACTGCCCACAGAGTATGGCTTCTTTGCTCCTACTTTGCCCAGTGTTGTTGAGTCCCGCAGAGGGCTGGAGCCACCAAATTTGCTGCAAGCTGCTGTCAGCATAGCCAGGGGACTGGAGCCATAGTGAGCTTCCTCCTGTGGGGAAAAGGGACCAACACTTAGGAGAAGAGGTACAGAATAATGGGCAAGGCTCTGGGGCCCAGCCCTGTTGTTGCTGTTAAGTGCCGTCGAGTCAGTTCCGACACATAGCAACCCTGTGTAGGGTTTTTTCCAAGAAGTAGCTGATGGGTTTGAACCACTGACCTGGAGGTTAGCAGTCCAGTGCTTATCCTACAGCACCACACCAAGACTACCCTAGACACATGGAAAACAGATAAGAGGGTTCAGGGAAGAGTTGAGAGTCTGGAAAATTAGAAGTAAGAGAAATCAGTGAGAACCAGGGCAGATCCAGGATGGAGTCATGGAAGGAGAGCAGAGGTCCAGGTCTGCAACTCAGTCCCCACCGGAGGAGGCATGAAGCAGAGGTCATTGCTGGGGTTACCCAGGGTGTGCACGGCGGCTCCTAGGAACGGGAGACAGTTCTTAATAGCTATGAAAAACGCCAGAAAAGAGATATTGCCTGGGTGAGGTAAGAATAAGAGATCCTGACCCCTGGAAGTGGTTTTAGGCTAGAAGTCACCGTCACCTGCAGGGACTTGGAAAGGAAAGTTGGTACTCATGAGGTGACAGTAAAGTATTAGAGCACTGGAATTTGCCCCTATCCCAGATCTTCCTGATTTCATCCGAGATTGTACTTCCAGTCTCTACTTCGCCCCTGACTGAAGTGGCCTGGTCTCCCTGAAGTCAGTCTTTATGTCCCTGGTAAGGAATCTCTTGGCAGGAACTCTGGGGCAATGACAGGTATACTGGGGCATTGAGAGGAAACAGGGCTATCGCCAAACCAGGACTGTGGCTGAGGCAAGAATGTCTTTCAAGCAGGCAGTGGTCACCTCCTGCTTTATGGCACCAGCTGGTACCTCTTGGGGAGTGTGGCAAGGGCCTCAGGTCCCTCCTAGGCTCTCAGCTGCCTCATAGCCACACATATTCATGCCTCAGTGTCCCCTAACATGCAGTCCATGAAGTTCATCTCTTCACCCATCTAGCATAGTGAGTAAAAGTATGTGTTTGCAGAACAAACATGGGGTCTTTTAGAAACACAGATAGTCTTTTAATGCCTGCCAAGCTGCTGCTACCAAGGAAGAAGTGGATCAAACCACTCTCAAGATCAGCTTGGGTCAGCTTCAGGACTTCCCAAGAGGAGACGCCCTCTCTGGCACAGATAGGCAGCCATTACTTGGAACTGCTCCCTGCCCAAATATGCCTTCAAAAGCTGACCATGTGCAGTTTCCTGGCTAAAAACAAAACAAATTTAAAATCCCTTGCTATCGAATCTATTCTGATTCACGGTGACCCTATGAGTAGAACTGAATAGAACTGAACTCCATATGATTTTCTTGGCTATAATCTTTATAGAAGCAAATTGCCACACCTTTTTTCCGCAAACACTGTTGGGTGGGTTTGAAGACTCAGTCTCTCAATTAGTAGTCAAGCACAAACCATTTGTGCCACCCAGATACTTTGGTGCCTTCCCAGTGACACTGAGAAAGAACCCAATAATCTAGAGCACAATTCTCAGCCCTAAACCTGGTAGCTCCTAGCATTGGGGATGTGCATGTGTGTAATTTCAATCTTAGAGAAAGGTCTTGGGATCTTAAGGTTGCAGTGAGAGGTGTGTGCATTGCTCTACAGTACATCCCCTCACCCCAATTACCTCTCTCTGAGGTCCTGCTGGCTCCATGGGCTTGCAAATTTAAGATGCCAAAAGCTTCCTCAAATCTGGCCACAGTAAACCCTCAGGGTCCCTCCCAGAGTTTCCCTGGAGTCTCTGATCTTCCAAGCAGAAGATAGGCTAAGGCAGGGTAGCTGGCAGGGCAGGAGTCACCTCCTAGCAGAAAGACATAGAAACATGGAGTTTGAAAGAGAGTGGCAGAGACCCAGACACAGGAGAGCAATGGACCCTGAACAGGTCAGAAATAGACAAAAAAACAAAACAAAAAAACCCATGGAGATGGGGAAAGGGGAGTAGAGAGTGAAACTGACATTAAAAGACTGAAAAGGCCAGGGACCCAAAAGAGCATAAAAGACAAAAGGGGAAGGAGAGCGAGGAAAGCAGAAGCAGCGCTGACAGAAGCAACTGGAACAGGAAAGCTAAGGAAAACAGAGGGTGGGAAAGGAGGGGGAAACTAGGAAAAGGGAGGAAGAGAGCAAACTTCCTACCTAAGAGAAAACCACTGTGATGCTCGGCCCCAGAAAACCCCCAGACCAGGCCACTCCTCCCTCCTTTTCCCCCCTGACCGACCCCTCCTCCTCTGCTCAGCCCAGCCCGGCTCCGGCTCCGTTGGTTTCCCTGCGGTCGGTTTATTTTTAAAAACGCCGACGCCGTCCCCCCTGCCTGGCCCTCACACTGTGGCCACAGGGGCCTCAGCCAAGCCCAGGGACCCCACCCAGCTGTGGGGAGAGAGGAGGGGTGATAGAAGACAGCCAGCCCCAGACCAGTAGGAGACCCCAGCCCGTGGGAGGAAGGCCTGCAGGACCCCTGAGGGCAGGCAAGAGGAAGCAAGGAACTAGACCCACTCTTGGGGCTATTCTGGAAGTCAAAGGGCTAAAAAACTGGACACAGGGCTAAGTTTCACTACAGCCTCAGTTTCCTTCTCTTGCTGATTGCTCTTGCCTGAGAATTGGACAGGACGTCTTAGTTAAGAGTTCGGAGTGTGCTCTCCCATACCTGATAGAATGTATTACCTTTACAGGACAGGGGAGATTGGCCTTTCAGGGGGATTCTTTGGAGAAAGAACAAGATAGGAAGCTAAGAGATTCCAGCCCTTTCATCCAGATGAGAAGCAGAGGAAGAGGGTCCTCTCTTTCCAGTGAGTCTAGGTACCCAGCTTGACCTCTCACTGGAAAAGCTCTCCACGCATCAGAGAGCTAGCTAGCAGGATATAGGTTTGGAGCACCCCAGTTCCTAGCTTCTAGTTCTCATCTTTCTTAGCCTCCTCTCAAGTTTCTTAGCTCTCTAAGCTTTCCAATTCTCGGTTCCACCTAGCTCCTCACTTCTCCCTCCTCCCTACTAGCTACCTACCCTCAGGTAACAACTGGTCCCCTTTCTGAGCCCAAAGTTCTGCTCACTGCCAGAGAGCTTGCCCATTACCAGACAGAGGGATTTCTATTGGTGATAATAGAAATGATTGAAGGCCAGGTCTCTGAAAGCTAAATGAAAGAGATGGGGGTACTAGAGTAATTTTGTGTTGGGGGCTCACAGGGAGTGAGGGGAGATGTAAGGCCTGTTTTCTTCACACACTCATGTCTTTCCAGCAGGTCCCTGGACCAGCCCCTCCCCCAGACACCAGTGCCACGTTGGCAACTTTGGCATGATACACACTCCCACTGACAATTGCCCCTGCCCTGGAAGGACCCAGGATTTTCATGCACCTTTTCCTCCAGCTTCCTCAGGACAACAGTGTTTCAATGATAATTCAATATAGTAGTCACTGGGAAGATGGCAAGGTGGGCAATCTGCCCCCATTGTTGCTTAGGCTGGAGTACAATACCTGGAAAACCTGACTGGATAGAGTAATGACAAGAAGCATGGTACCCACCCTATTGCCTTGCATGGCATTCCCTCAAACTCAATCACAAACTCCCTCTCACAGCCCTACAAAAACACCATTCCTCTTTTAGACTAGCGGACACTCAGCTCAGCTTACACAGGTATACCAGTGCACTCAGAAAGGCAGCTGCATACAGATGCGTTCCTTTACATTCTCACACATCCACTCAGTCCAATGAACATAGGAGATCAAAGATTCTCACTCCAATTCAGAGACACTTTCTTCTACAGGTGAATGAGTCTGCTTCCTGTTTGGCCTATCACCCCTAGAACCTAAGCTAAGGTACTGGGGGCAGAGATGGGGGATTAGAAGACCTCAAGAGTGGGAAAGTTTCAAGGTTACTGAAGGGGGCTGGTATTCAGGAATGGCTCTTGGCCCCAAATTCCTGCAGGGGGACCTAGAAAGCAGGACAGAGATGAAGGCAGAGAAACAGAGTCAGTGAGCCAGAAGGAGGGAAACCTCAGGACATTAAAATTGGCTGGAGTTCTCAAGTCCCAGTAGGATGCTGCTCTACAGGCTTCCTCTAGTTCTGCACCATGGGCCCCCCAGAAACCCTGGTAGTCGGTGATTTCTCAGGAATCCGAACCCTTACCCCATCTGGTACACCAGTGCCCTCCATCCCAAGCACCACTGGCCAGGGATGCTGGGGTCCCAGCCTAGAGGGGAAGTGGCCCAGCCCGCCCTGGAGCCTCCCACTCCCAAAATAGAGCTGAGTTTGTCTTTGGCTGAAAACTAAATATTTGTGAGCCGGGCAGGCGGCCTCAGACCCTGTCCCTCCCCATTGGTTCCCTCTCAGGTCTGGGCTCAGTTCCCCTGGTCAGCCTCCCCACATGCACAGGACTGCCCTTCTTCCATCTCTCAGAGCCCACCTCCTCTCCTACACACACAGCCCAGAGGCCCGGCCCCCTGCCCACACAGAGATGAGACAAGATGCTGCTAAGACTAGGAGTCCCAGGAGATGGCACCCCAAAAAAACTAGTCACTATATGCACCCAACCAGTCCGTTCTGCCCTCTGTCTCTTCCCCTGTCTACTTCCAACTCATCTGTCTCCCACCCCTCTCTCCCTACATCCCTTCTCTTCTCCCTCCTTTCTCCATCCTTTTCTCACTCCTTAGAGTTGGAGTGCTGGTCTGACCCTAGGGTACATGCCTTCTTCTGACATAGTCTCTGCTCACCTCCTTTTGACTGCTTGCTCTCTGACCCCTGGTCCTGCTCTCTCCTCCCCCTTCTCCAGTCCTCTGCTCTCCCCTCCTCTGAACCCACTCCTCTCTCCTCATCAAAGTTACCCCTGGAAGTGACAGACAGCAACTGTCTGTGTGAGTTGGGGGTTGAGCAAGCAGGGATTAAAGTCCTTAAGACTGTGGCTGGTTTCCTGGTGGGGAGGAAGGGGCAGTTACCTCAAGCAGGGAGGATGCCATCCTGAGGCTGGGGAACGGGTTCCAAGGAGCCAGGCAGATGGAGAGAGCTGAGCCGGAGAGAGAGGGAGAGGGAGGGAGAATAGGAGAATGGGAGAGAAGAGATCTAAAGTTAGAAGGGACTGGGGGGTGGGGATGGGTGGGGGGGGACTGCTCTCTGTCTGTAGGGATCCACCCTCTAATTACAGCTTTCCCAGCAGAGAAGGCTCCGGATCCAATGAGGAGGGCGAGAGAGGAAGGCAGAGGGTCCAAATTTCCTGCTCCATTTGCTGAGCTCCCCAAAGAAGGGATCTGGGAGGGAGAGGAGAAAAGGGGGCACCCAGGGAAGGGATGGGAGACCAGAAGGGGGAAGAGGAACATGGACAAGTTGCCAGGGTTTCTTTAGAGGGTACTGAGAGGGGACAGGTTAAAGGAAGGGTGGGCCCAGGTGTCCTGCATCCCCCCAGCACTCCCATAGTCATCTGTGGTATCATGTACCTGGGGAGAGTATGGGACTGGGTGTCCTGGATCTCTCCTCTCTGGAGGTCTGGCAGCGAGGGTGCAGGCAAGGAGTGACCTGTGGGTCTCAGTCCCAGGATGGATCTGCTCCTCTCCCAGGACAGCTCCACTCCTGTTCCCACGCAGGCTCCGATTCTAAGATCCCTGCTCTGACTCCAGAGTCCTTGCCGTGCTTGTTTGCTGTTGCTGCTGCTGCAGAGGCTGCTACCGCCGCTGCCGCTGCTGCCGCTGCTGAGGAAAGGAACAGGAGGGAAAAGGAACAAACCCCAAACCACTAATTAGAGATCCAGGGGGGGGGATGGGGGATTGGGGACAACACTCACACAGAGAGACTGGAACACACTGACATACACACTCATGGACAAACACAGGGATGACACACATACATGCACACACGCACAGCACTACCCACACGGGTCCAACCACTGTCATGAATGAACACAGACAAACTCACTCAAATGAACACAGTGACACAGCTGGAGGCACACACACACACTCAAGTTGGCCACAGAGATGCTGACTTCCCCAGTCATCCACCCCTTGATAAGAAGAGCTGTGTGTGTGTGTGTGTGTATGTGTGTGTGTGTGTGTGTGTGTGTGTATTGTGAGAGAGAAAGAGCGTGAGCGTTTGTGCGTGTGCTGTGTGGAGTGGTGACTTCTGCTGCCCAGATTCTCAGGGTCACTGAGGTAGAGTCCAGAGCAAGGCCTGAAGGGAATGGGGGGAGGCTTGGATCAGTCTTGGGGATTCCCCAATTTTCTTCCCAAAGCCTCAGTTTCACAGCTGGGAAGTAACATCTAGATCTACCTCACTTTGTGGGGCAGAACCTGGATCTTTTGATACCAAGAACATTTAAGACCGGCAGGAAGAATGAGGGTAAGGGTAGAAGGTAGCTGGATCAATTCATTCATGCCTGGGCCTAGCGCCTTGGATCAATCCCACCACCATCACCAAGAAGAAAGAAGAATCCTACTCTCCATCATTCCTTGCTAAATATTATGCCTGGACTCCTCTTGGCCACTGATCTAATAATCTCTGGATAAGTCTTCTTACCAGTGATCAAGCTATCCTGTGAAGGAGCTCTTGGTTTCCTTTCTCATTGCTATCAGTTCCCTCTACAGCAGGAAGAATTGAAGTTAAAGTTTAGACAGGACTTCCAACATTGACTTCCCACCAAAAGAGGGAAAAAGAGAAGGAAGTCAACCAGATTAAGAGAGAGAAACAAACAAACAAAAATCTATTAACTGAAAACTGGGCCCCAGGGTAAATTTATGGGAAAGGGAGCGCTGGATAGCCAAGTGGTAGAACCAGCATCACTCAGAAAAGACCCAGCCAGCAGGGGTTGTTTCATAAGTTATTTCCCTCTCAGCCCTGCCTCTCAGAGGAATGAAGCCCTGTCCTTTCCCATCCCCCTTACTCCCCAACACAGTCCCCTCACTTTCTCTTTTGACAGCAACTGAGAACCCACTTCCATGCTTCTTTTGCTCTCTTAACTCTCCAAAGAAAAAGTGGGGAAGGAACAGGAATGGATGGAAGTTACAGAGTCTCAGTTTTACCAGCAAGTACAGCATAGTTCAGGGCAGGACCCAGGAGTTCTGAATTCTAACACCATTTGATTTCCCCTAAGAAATCTTGCGAACCCAACTTTTGGGAAAAGGGTTAGGGAACCAAGGTGGTAGGCAGACTAAAGAAAAAGAAGCAAGAAAAGAAACACAGAAAGACAGGTAGAGAAACTGTAACAATCCAGTTAAGGTATGGAGTGTATGAAAGGAAGGGATGAGGAAACAGATGACCAGAGAGATGCCTTTATAATAGAGAGAGCAGAAAATGATAAAAAGGAAAACAAGCATCCCAGAGGAGATGAAAGGAGACAATGGTTTAGAAAGACAAGGAAAATAGCCTGCCGGAGGCATGGCCAGGTCTGGAGGAGGTGGAGGGTTAAGCAGCCTGGCAGGTGGGGGGCGGGGATGGAGTATAAATAGCACATAATTGTGTCCGATGATTACAAGGGCCACCCCACCCGTCTGCCCAAGAGGAAGTGCCCGTGGTGGGGTGTCCCTGTGACCTCACAGTCTCCCCTGTGGGGAGAGGAACCTGAGCCTGAGGCTCCAGATGGATTTCTGTGGCCCCCAACTCAGAAGTTGGGAAGAATGGGAAACTTTGAATTACTGTACTGCTGCAGAAAAATCTGTTAGATTAGGTAGGAAACTGAGGCAGAGAAGACAATTCTAGAGTCTAGAGAACCAATGGCAGGTGAAAGGAAGAGCTCAAATTAGATTGGAGAAGAAAGGAGGAGACTGAAAGGGAAAAAGAGATAGGATGAAAGGAAAGCCAAGCAGGGGAAAAGAAGTTAAGGGAGAGAGGGCCAACATTTTCTACTCCTTAATCAGTTTGAGGAGTCCTGGTGTGCCGCTGCGGATTAATGTGCCAGACTACAAAGCCGTTTGAACTGCAAGGTCGATGGTTCAAGCTCACCAGCTACTCCTTGGAAACCCTATACAGGGTCGCTATGGGTTGGAATTGACTCGACGGCACTTCACAACAACAACAATCAGTTTGAACCACAAGGTCGGCGGTTCAAACCCACCATCAACACCTAGGAAACTCTATACAAAGTCACTAGGAGTTGGAACTGACTTGAAGGCACTTAACACCAACACCAACTATCCTACTAGTGAAGGGGCTGTTGTTAAGTGCTGTTGGTTCCCACTAACAGTGTAGGGTTTCCAAGGAGCAACTGGTGGGTTTGAACTGCTGACCTTGTGGTTAGCAGTCCAGTGCTTATCCTACAGCACCACACTGGGAAAGGGTTTGTTGTTGTTGTTAAGTGCCATTGAGTCGGTTCCAACCCATAGCAACCATGTATAGGGTTTCCAGTGAGCAGCTGGTGAGCTTGAACCTTGCGGTTCAAACCGACTTTGCCGTCCAGTGCATTAACCCATAGCGCCACACCAGGAAAGGGCAGAAGTGTTCAAGTGCCAGAGTGTTAGGGAAAGGAAAGGAGACAATGTAAAACAGGGTCGCTGATGTCAATCCCAATAAGGCAGTCCCTGTGCACAGAACCCCTTGCACAAAGGTCTGTGCCACAGCCAGGCAAAGGGATTGCCTAAATCCCTCAGTTGCCTTCCTCAGGCCTGCTGTCCTTAGAACACTGATATCTGAGTTCTCATATATATTGTTGTTGTTGTTGTTAAGTGAAGTCAATCCCTACACAGAGTGTCCAAGGATAGGCTTGTGGGTTTGAAGTCTCTTGTGGTTAGCAGTCTCTCTCTCTCTCTCTCTCTCTCTCTCTCTCTCTCTCTCTCTCTCTCTCTCTCTCTCTCTCTCTCTCTCTATATATATATATAGTAGGATAAGCAATTGACCATAAGGTCAGTTTGAACTGCAAGGTCAGCAATTCAACAGTTCAAGCTCATCAGCTGCTCCTCAGAAACCCTATACAGGGTTGCTATTAGTCGGAACTAACATGATGGCACTTAACAACAAATACACACACACACACATATATAGATATATAGAGAGAGCGAGAGTGAGTGAGTTCTGGTGTGGAGTTGTGGGTTATTATAGTCCTGGTGTGGTGTTGAGGGAGAATGTGCTGGACTGCAAGGTCAGTTTGCACAGTAAGGTCAGCAGTTCAAACTCACCAATGCTCCTTGGAACCCCTATGCAGGGTCCCTATAAGTTATATATATGTATATATATACTTTTTCAAGATAGACCTGCAACCCAGCCAAACCCCTGGTTCTCCTGGGTCCAGTCCCCCCATGCCCTTCCCAGTGCCCTCAGGGGCTGGGGGCAGCAGCTGAAGCCCTAACCAAAGACCTGCTTCCACCCTAGCAGGCGTCCCTCTGCCCAGCCTCCCAGGGGGTGGGGCAGCCCAGGCAAAGGCGCCATGTGGCAGGGGCGGGTTGAGGCTGCGGCTCTGGTCCTTCCAGTATAAACCCCCTAGGCATCTGGTTTCTATCCACCACCCCCCACCACCCTGGGGGCCCCTCAGCCTCCGCCCATGGCCACCCAGACAGAAAGCTCCTAGAGATGGATGCCCCTGAAGGAAGGGGTGGAATGGTACTTTTCTGATCTCCCAACCCCAGGACTGGGCTGAACCACAAGGGACCACTCCCTTCCCTCCCTGCCCTAGGAGAATCAGGGTGGGATTTCTAGGTTTGTGAGGGCTGAATCTGAAACCTGCTTCAGTTTTCTCTAGTGCCTTTGGGTCTTCTGGGAGAGGTCAGTGGAAGTGGAGAGAACATGGAAGCTGGGGAAGGTGGGACGTCTCTAGTTTCCTATCTCTCAGGGAGCTGCCTCCTTACACAGCAATTGATTACCCTCTGCTCACCCTCCTGCACTGGGCCTGCTCTTATATCCTTGATCTAAAGGGACCCTAAACCCTTCCCTTTGCTATTACGGTAGCAGGCTTGGCTACCTGGAGAGAATCACCAATGAACAAGAAATTAAAAAACAAAAACATTGCTGTCAAGTTGAATCTAACTCATAGCACCCTATAGGCTAGAGTAGAACTGTCCCACACGGTTTC